TGGAAAGGCCCCAGACACCGGGCATTTGGGTAGGAGAAGCACTTCTACATGCCCAGTGGTGGACTGTGCCAGAGACCCTATTCATTGCTTCCCCTGAATCATCTCCACTGGATCCTCACAGCGGGGGTGGGGTGGATGCACACTGGTGTTTTGTTTAGTCTGGCTCTATAGATTAGGACAATGAAGTACAGAGTTGTTGTGTTCTTCAATGTAGGTCACACAGCCCATGATAGACGAATCTAGGATTTGCAAACAAGCAAGCAAGGAGATTCCTGAGAGCCAGGGTACTCTGATCAGGTTCTATGGTGTGACCACTAGTACATTGCTGGACATGTGAACACACTGAAGAAGGTATCCCTAGGACAAAGTGATGTGGCTGAGAAGAGGACCACCCACGCATGGTCTAATAGCCCTGTTTGTCTCTTCAGGGTTATACTGGGGCATGGTGCTCTGAATCCTGTGAGGCTGGCCAAGAAGATCCTCGATCCTTTGCAGAGTTGGTGCCAAGTGGACTTCCAAAGCTAGCCAGATGGCCCAGCATGAGCTGTGCCTCCCTTGGCATTGTGGCTACTATTGGTGACCTGACAGATAGGGCAGGAGATTCTCTGGCAGGGTCAGGAGGTTTGGTTCAAAGCCCTGATCGATTTGATGCCACTACTGAGAGATGCATTTTACAAATCTCATTCACTGCAGTAACAGCCACGGACCGAAAGCCTGAAACCGGGACGTCACCCTGCACATGTCCCCAGAAGTTCTGCCTGAACATTGATTTTTCATTTCTGAAATGAGAAGTTAGTCCCATTGGAATGTCAACCAATATTGGCTCATGGAAGGAACTTCTGCCTACCTTTCCTTGAAAGGCCTTCTAAGTGCCAATGGTTTTGGTGCCCTGTGTGCCCAGCAGTTCTCTCTGAATCTTCCAGCTCCTACCCCTGGCCTGGATCTGGGTTTCAGCTAAGCCTCCTTCAGGACCAGCTAGTGACATGGAGACAATTACAAACTAAGGAGTAACTATGATATCTCTTTGGAAGGCTCATGTTGCACCATGTGAGCATACCCTTCCGTGCTAGATATTTGTGGGCGAGCAAGGGGCCCATTCTGACAATATTCAAGAGAATCCAGAATTTCTTCTTTTAAACTTTTTTTTACATCAACCATTCATTTATTCCTGTGTGTGTGGATACCACATGTATGCAGAGGTCGAGCTGGCTCTCTCTTTCTATCATATAGGTTCTAGGGCTTCAGCTCGGGTTGGGTCTCCTTTGCAGCGATTGCCTTTGCCTGCTGGGCCATCTTGCTGGCCCTCCTTGTTTTGTTCTTGGAGATAGGATCTTATTAAACTACAGCCAATGCTCCTGCCTCAGTCTTTAAATTCTCTGTGTGTGTGTCTGTCTGTCTCCTGTCTCCTGTCTCTTTCTTTCTCTCTCTCTGTCTCTCTCTGTCTCTCTCTGTCTCTCTCTCTCTCTCTGTGTCTGTCTGTCTCCTGTCTCTTCTCTCTCTCTCTCTCTCTCTCTCTCTCTCTCTCTCTCTCTCTCTCTCTCTGTGTGTGTGTGTAGGTGTATACATGCAGGTGTGCAGGTGTCCTCAGAGTCCAGAGGAAAGCATCAGATCCCCTGGGGCTGGAGTTAACAGGTGGTTGTGAGCTGCTTGCTGTGGGTGCTGGGAACTAAACTATGGCCGTCTATGGGAGCAACTGGAGCTCTGTTGTTCTATCTTACTGGCCTCCTATTTATTTTATTTTTAAATTGTTTGACACAGAGTCTTGTGTAGCCAAGGCTGGTCTCAAATTCTCCGTCTCCAAGGCTGGACTTGAACTCCTGATGCTGGGATTACAGGAATATACCATTGTGTCTGAGCGAATTATTTGAGACAGGCTCTTACTATGTAGTCCTGGCTACTCTGAAATTCACTGTCACCAGGATAGCCTTGAACTCACAGAGATTCTCCTTCTTCTGCCCTCTGCGTTTAAGGATATGTACCACCATGCCCAGATCAAAATAACAATAATAAGAATATTAATATCATATAATATTATTTTATATAAATCATTATATTATTATGATATACAATTATAACAATTATTATATAATAATAACAACAACAATATTATTATTTCGGTTTTTTTTAAACTCTTTTTTTTTTTTTTTTTTTTGGTTTTTCGAGACAGGGTTTCTCTGTGTAGTCCTGGCTGTCCTGGAACTCACTCTGTAGACCAGGCTGGCCTCGAACTCAGAAATCCACCTGCCTCTGCCTCCCAAGTGCTGGGATTAAAGGCGTGTGCCACCACTGCCCGGCTATTTTGTTTTTTTGAGACAAGGTTTCTCTGTGTAGTCCTGGAATTGCTCTGTAGACCAGGATAGCCTGGAACTCAGATATCTGCCTGCCTCTATGTCCCAAGTAGATTAAAGGAATGCACCACCACCCCACAGCCTGAAATTATTTTTTTAAAGAAATACAGTGTCCCCAGGTTGTCAGACTATCTCCAAACTCCTAGGCTCAAGCAGCCCCGCCTAGGCAGCTGAGCAGTTGAGGGCACATGTATTCATACATGCAAAGTCACCTCAACTTTGACTCGTGGCAGTGAGCTCAAATCACGATGGACAGAGCCCAGCACTGGCAAAGCAGCAGAGCATCTGGGGCCAGATTCAGTGCAGGCTGCCCTACTTGAGACTTCTGACTGATCTGACAGTCCACGGCCTCTCACGTGCTGTGCTCATACTCCATGCCTGACTGATCCACTGCACCCACAGCCTGGGGCTGGGCTCTCCCAAAGCCCCCCTGGAAACAAACAGATGGTCTAGGTTTAGATTCCAGCTCTGTGACTCACCGGCCAAGCGTCCCCCAGGCCAGTTATTGTCTCTGTGGCTCAGTTTTCCCTTCTGTAAAATGGGAGAAGTCGCAGTGCTGAGCTCACAGGGATGCTCTCTGGGGAGGAGCAGGTTGAGCTCGTTTACATGAAGTGAATTCTACCAGCCAGGAAAGTGCTGAAGAAAGGAAACTAAATAAATATAGTAGGGGCAGTGACCCAAATGTCACTCAGCTGTGACCCCAGCTACCCAAGGGCTCTGTCTCAAAATATAAATAAATAAATAAATAAATAAATAAATAGTAAAGTGTAGCTGAGCTCTTTCTGTGTACCAGGCCTGTGAAGCCTTGTGTACCAGGCCTGTGAAGCCTCGTGTACTTGATGGAGTTCAAGGACCAGATCTCACAGAGCTGACGCTACAGAAGGGGAGGCTGATGGATGCCGGGGCTGCATCCTCCTGTTCTTCCCAGTCGTCACTTGTGTGATACTGTGTCGATCATTCTGAGGCTCAGGCCTTCCCAAGCTTTCCAAAGCTCATCCCTGGACCTGCCAAGCCTCTGTGGCCTCCCCTACCCTGGCTCTCTGTATAGTCCTGTGACACCATGCCGTCAGGCCTTTGCAGCCTTGCAGCCCTTGCTTCCTCTGCTCCCCCACCCCCACCCTTCTGCCTGCCTAAAGGCTCTGGGCTTCCTGAAGCTGCCCTGGGTTCAAACCAGCCACTTCCCTACTCTCTGACCTACCTCTCGGTCTCAGCCCTTTGTGCTGTGGGTAGTGACATGTGAGTCTGGAATTTTTTTTTTTTTTTTTTTTTGGTTTTTTCGAGACAGGGTTTCTCTGTGTAGCCCTGGCTGTCCTGGAACTCACTCTGTAGACCAGGCTAGCCTTGAACTCTCGAACTCAGAAATCCACCTGCCTCTGCTTCCAAAGTGCCAGGATTAAAGGTGTGCGCCACCACCGCCCGACTGAATTTTTTTTTTTTTTTTTTTTTTTTAAGACTGGTTTTCTCTGTGCAACCCTGACAGAACTCTGTAAACCAGACTGGCCTTGAACTCAGAGAGCTGCCTGCCTCTGCCTCCCAGTCCTGGAATTAAAGGGGTAAGTCACATCACCACCTTATTTTGCTTCTTGGTGTCTTGTGCCAGCCTAGGACAATGGGTTCAGTCTGGCCAGGTCTGGGGCTTCAATCCTAGTTTAAGAGGCAGGATAGACATGCCACATAACAGACACTGTGTGCAGAGAGAGTGGAGAGGAAAGAAAAGGAAGTGGGCACGCAGAGCGGGGAAGGCCTTACTGAAGGTCACACAGCGCCATCTCAGGCTCAGTCAGGCTGTGGGTATGTACAATCAGATGGAGGACGTGTTCATTCAAATAAGGACAAGAATAATGGCACACTCCCCATCTCCATTTAAAAATAGTCACATTTGCTGACACTCGTTTGGCACTTCCTAGGTGCCTGGTGTCCTGTTCAGACTCTTTACACTGTTAACCTTGGACCCTCTCAGCAGCCAGAAGTGATGAGTTCCACTATTTTTATTTCCTTTTTACAGATGAGGAAACCAAGACACAGAAGGTCTGGGGAACTTGCCTGATGTCACACAGCCACGACGAAGTCAGGGGCGCTTCGAAAGCACAGCCTCTTGTAGGCCAGGGAGTGGGGACTTGGCCCCGTTATCATTTCCACAGAAGCTCAGCCAGGCTCTCAGAGCTGCACACTGGACCAAGAGGACTCGGGGAGAGGGGGGAGGAGCAGATTCTGGCACCGACCTAGTGCTGCGGCAGCCCCAGGCCTCATCCCCAGACCTAGGTGGATGTATTAGAGAGCGCTGTGGTGTGGTAATGGCTATCAGGACGGAAGATGAGCCAGGGGCCTGTGTCTCTAACTCCTCATCGCCTGCAGGAGAGGCTTGAGCAGTGCCATTTGCCACCAGCGTTTTGATGGAGCATGAGGATGGGTGCGCGCGCTCGACGAGGCGAGCCCGGGCTCTTTGTGTGTCCGAGCTCGTGCGCGCGTGCGTGCATGCGTGTGTGTATGTGTGTGCCCGCGCGCGCGCTCGTGTGTGTGTGTGTGTGTGTGTGTGTGTGTGTGTGGGCGTGGCTGACCGTCCGAGCCCCGCCCTAGGCCCCGCCCAGGCCCGGCCAAGCTGGTATTTTTCCACCCAGCAGGATGGGTGATGCGGAGAGCTGCCTGTTCAGACAACAGACACGCGAGGTCAGGGAGAAGCCGCTTATAAATTACCGCTTCCTCCGCGCCGCCGCCAGCGTCGTGCTCCGGGACCTGGCTGCTGCCGAGCTCCCGTGCCCAGCCACCAACGCCGCGATCGCCGCCAGTCCCGCCAGCCTCGCCAGCCCGGGGCCATCCGCTGTGGGCTTAGCCACCCAGGTACCCAGGGCGTGCGGGCCGCGACTGCAGCCCCCTCCCCCGGGCCGCGCTCCGCCTCACCGCGTCCCAGCGGGTCTGGCCTCCCCGAGCTCTTTCATCCCCTTCACCCCTGAGGGAGGGACCGAGGGTCTCCTGCTCAGCTCTGCTGGAGAGGGAGTTATTGTTTCCCTGGCGAAGGGGCTGGGGCTGCTGGTGTGGCGGCAGGTGTGTGTGTGTGTATGTGTGTGTGTGTGTCTGTGTGTCCCACGGGGTGTCTCCTTGTCCCTAGATGTCTCTGTTTCTGAGGGTGGCGGTTTCTCCACCCTAGGCAGCCGTGTACATGTGCGCCCCGGGCTGTGTGATATTTCCCATGTCCCGGGCTGCCTTACCTGAGTGTAGTGTGGCCGCGAGGCTCTGCCTCCTGATACACACGAACACACACACACACACACACACACACACACACACACACACACGTCTTGCCTATGTGAACCGGTACGTGTGGCTGTGTCTCCGGAACCCTGGCCGTGTGCACGTGTGTGTCCCCGAATGTGACTGTATCCCTGGGTCCCTGGATTTGGGCAAGTCTAGTGTCTTTCAGCTGTACCTGAGAGGGCAATCTCTTGCACCCAGTGGGCCCAGTGGGCATCTTTGGTTCTTCGTAGTATTTAGGAGAGGTAAAAGGGAGATATGGCTCCAGGTGCTGCCTGGGTGTGGCACGCAGGTGATAGTGACAGCCGCCCTCAGGCTTGAGTTAGCAGGACTGAGGCCCGGAGCGACAGCCAGGGGCAATGGGCAGTGGGTAGGACTAGCTGGACACATCTTCCTCTAGACTGCTCCCCTTCCCCTTTATGGGTTCCTCTTTTGGGTGGGAGGTTCTGATCCGCTCCCACTGGGGAAGCCACACAAGGAGCCAGTCTCAGGAACAGGTCTTACAGTCCCAAAGCCTCAGCCTAGACTATGCTGGCTGCAAGGGAGGCGTGTGCTCGGCAGAGCCACCGACCTGGCTATTTTGGTCACTGCCTGGTCTCTGCCAGATCCCTGCCTTCCCCAGGACCAGCCCCAAAGGCTTGGGAGACAGCCTGGGCCCCCATTTCCTGCCTGGAGAAATAAATCATTTCAAAGACTGGCCAAGCGCTTGACCCGGAGGGTCTTCAGACTGCGGTTTGGTAGCACGTGGCTCCATTGGATGCCAGTAAATTGGCCTCCGATTTGGCACAGCTAGCTTTCAAATAAATGTCATGGAGATTTTTTTTTTAATTAAAAGAATTTTTTTTTTGTTTTTTGTTTTTTTTGGTGCTGGTAGGGAGGGGATCTCACCCAGAGTCTCTAAGCCAGAAGGAGTTTATTTTTATGAGAGAGCTCGTGAGTGCCTAGCAACGGCCTGCCTGCCTCCCTCACTACCAGGGAGTCATCAGGGAGTGGGGGGTGAAAGGGAGGTGTTTTAGCAAGATGATGGTGGGTGGCTGGAGGGGGACCTAGGCACCAGCTGAGAACCCACAATACAATGGTATTGGCAGATGGTTGGAGGTTGTCTTAGACCTTGGTTCAGCCACCCAGTTAACCTTGGGCAATGTTTCTTGTCCTCAGTCTCTTCACCTGTAAAATGGGTGGGGCATAGTATCCATTGGATATGTCAACCAGGAATCCAAGAATCAGTGCTTGTCCCCAGAAAGACTGTGTCCCTGTTAATGGTGACCTTGGGTAGTTCTCTTAGCTTGGGCTTGGCTGTCCTGGCGACAAGGACGCTAAGGCCAGCCTCGCCTTGTCCTTGAAGGGATTGAGGGAGATGAGGCTGAATAAGCTTGTGGTAAGCTGTAAAGCCGGGCTCGGCTCTAGAGCTGCTGATTAGAGAATGTCACGAGGTCTTGGGTCACTGTGGTATGTGGCAAGGGCCATGGTGCTGTCCGGAGAGAGCTTTTGTCCTTTGGGGATACCCTGGTACTGCCTGTAGCTCTGTTGTGGTCAGCCTCCCTGACTTTCTAACCCCCTCTGTATCCACATTTGTTTGGTAGAATCTGGAGGCTCAGGGGTAGAAGAGCCCATTCTACAGACGGGCCAATTGAGAGCTACCTAGGAGGTTGCCTTGCTTGGACTGTACAGAATTGAGATTCCAAAAAGCTTTGCCATGGCCAGCTGTGCATTTAGGCTTCACAGAGCTTGGGCCACCGATTTGTTGAGGACATTAAGTTGGGGACATTAAGGTGGAGCAGGTTCTGGAGAAAATGAGAGACAAAGGTATTCTGGCCATTAGGGCTGGAGGGTGTATGGGGGGGGCAGTGGTCCTTAGTACTTCGTATTCCTTCTTCTCTGCATCTTTGAGTGGAGCCTGGCTACCATCCCTGCAGCAGGTGTTGTGCCACCCCACCCCCACCCCACCTAGAGGCAGCCTGGGCACTGGGGGTCCCTGCTTCTAACCTCAACTTGTCAAAGGTTTAGTTCTCCGAAAGTTTCCAAAGGTCTCAGTGATAAGGTGCAATGAGTCACTCAGCACATTCCTGGACACAGGAAAGAGCTGTCAATCACAAGGACTCCCTGGAATGTTGCCCAGCTACTGCCTTTGCTGGGATCTGGGTGGGAATAGAGGGTTGGCCTGGGGTTCCAGCTGCGCTGACTGACTTTGGCAGTAGTTGTAGGCAAGAATAAGACTCTTTGAGGCTGCAGCTTGCATTGTGGTATTTGTCAATTTACCCCAGCCAAGGAAGTTTGAATCTGTGTGTTGTGGGCAGTAGCTACGGTTCTGGAGCATCCATGCCCTGGGTGAGAACTAGGGCTTTTTCTTAATGTGTCTCCTTTAGGTGGTTAAGAAACCTTGGCTCAGGTCAGCCCTGGGCAGGCACTGGATTTGGGGCAGAATGTTGGCTTTGAGGCACTAATAACCTAGAGGGAGTGGCTGCTCCCACAGTGACCACAGCCATCCATGGTTGCCTTGAGGAAGACTTAGGGGACTGTGACCCAGTGTGTGCTTGGGTGAGGCAGAGGTGATATTGGAGTCAATGCTTCTTATGGACAGAGAGGCAGGGTGAGCTTGCCTGGTAGGCAGGGACACAGAGGGTTTAAATGTAATGTGACATGAAATAGCCAAGTGTGTACACTAGGAGCTTTTAGAACATGTCCATAGGGCCTCAGTTAGAGAGAGGCCATGAGTAGATGTGGCCAGAGTCAGGTGATGGAAGGCTCATAGTTATCAAGAGGGCAGCAGGGAGACAAATAGGTTTGAACAGCATCTGGGGACAGTAGCAGGAGTCAATCAAGATTGGAGAGAGACCCCTAATGGTGAGCAAGAAGCTGAGTTGGGCTCCAGAGATCAAGGGTGGCTACCTACTGGCCTACCATTGGACAGGGTACAAGGCATTTTCTGGACCAATGAATCTGGCCCCAAGTTCTTTCTGTAAACACCAGGTGAAGCCTGGACACCCTGTTTAACAGGTACCAGGCCATTAACTTGCTGGTCCCCACCTCCCTGGAGCTTGCAGATCTGGCATCTTTAGGGAAAGTTATGGGCAGGTCTGAGGGGGGGGGTAGGGCTCTCCTTTCTGACTACTTTGGATTAAAGGATTCTTTCGGAAATATGAGCTGAGGCTGGGCTTTGGGGGGTGGGGTCAGAGAGGCAGGAAGATAGAAATGTTTGTCCTTTTTGGGGTGTGTGTGGGGGAGGTTGGCCTGGAACTTATTATGTAGCCCAGGCTGGCCTGGAAATTTGCTACAATCCTCCTGCTTTAGGCTTCCCAGTTCTGGGATTACAGGTGTGAGGTACTGTGCCTAATACTTCCCTGTGATTTTTTAAAAAGCATTTGGGGCCTGAGATATGGCTCCTCAGGTAAAATCACTTGCCAGGATCACCAGGACTCATGCTAGAAGGAGAGAATTTCACAGTGATCTCTTTTGACCTCCACATGAGACCTTGGCATGCCACATAAGATACACACAATAATAATGACATTTTTTTAAAAAAGGAAAAAGATATTTCAAGTGTCTAGGACTGTACGGTGTGTGCTTAACCTGAGTTTGATCTCTGGCACCCTCCACTCACCACCAATTAAATTAAAATTGAAGTATAATGCAGAGATGCTATGAAGTTCAGGAAATTTAGACATCAGTGTAATTACCACCCAGATCAAGATGAAAGACTACCCCTGTGTTTGCACATGTGCTTGTGTATAAACATATGTGTGTTGATGCATATGGGGAGTATATGTCCAAATATGTGTGTGTGCTTATGGGGGTCAGAGGTCACCCTTAGGTGTTTTTTCAGTTGCTTTCTACCTTTTGTGTGTGTTTCTGTGTGGTGTGCATGTGTGTGGGTATGTTCATGTGTATACATGTGTGTGGAGGCTACAGTTCAGCATCCGCTGCCTTTCTCCTTTACTCTGTTATTTATTTATTTTTTTGAGTCTCTCACTGAACCTGGAGCTAGGATGACAGCCGGCAAACTCCATCTTCCCATGTTTGTCCCCACTCCCCCCATTGCTGGGTTGCATGAACATAGGGCCATATCTGCCTTTTTATTTTGGTGCTGGGGACCTGCACTTGCTTCCCCTGCTCACACAACCAGCTATTTTACCTGCAAAGGCCGCTAGCTCCTCTGCTCCTTGCTTTCTTGCTTGAGGAGGGGACGAGGACTTCACCCTTGCTAGGCCGTCACTGTGCCACTGAGCCACATCCCCAGCTCTCTCCAACCCTCAAGAGAGCCACTTTTAGATGTCTGTCACTGTGAATGAATTTTGCCAAGTCACCTCATATCAGTGGGTTTGTGCCAGGCATAGTGAATCACCCTTGTAATTCCAGTACTGTATGTGTATGTGTATTATGTATGGCTAACTGTAGCACTGACTATTAAATGGAAAATTCTAGAAATGAGCAGTTCATGTGTTGTTGAATACATTTTATGACAGTGTAGGGTTATAATTCTATTTTATTATGAGCTATTGCTCTCGGAATGATTAATTTATAAATTAAACTTTACCTTAATTATGTCTAAGGGGAGATAGGAGGCAGTATAAACTGGAGGTCATTGCCTT